ATTTCATTACCCATATTTAAACCTGTTTACTTGATACTTGATTTATACTTGTTGGTATGCTTGATTAAAAATAAATAAAAAGGGGAATCGAATATTCATTTAGTGGGATTATGTCTTTTGTTTTTCCTTATCCATCATTTCAAGTAACGATGATAGAGATGTTGGGGATCAAGACGTGTGACGGTTTCTTATTAGATTCAATTTAGACTTAGTTGAGACTTGATTTAGTTTTTGGACTTATTTATCAACATTAGAAAGTTGAAGGACCTAGTTAGCAATTTTTTCATAATTTGACTTAGAAGTGTATATTGAATATTACTTGACTTTTAATAATATTTGAGATATTTTCAAACTTGAAGTATTAGTTTTGGCCTTGTATAACAAATTAACTTGGTTTTAAGTGTTCAACATCTATTCCATTTTAGGGTCCGAGTTGTAACAGATTTTATGGTATCAAAGCCTAGATTTAATGTAAAACCTAGGGTTCTTAAAACTTGACTAAAACCTCAATTAGGTGAGCTTGCTAGGAACGTGGTGAGTTGAGTGTGGGTCTTCTAAGGGACGTTCTAGGACTCTTGTGTGGCATGAACATTTATTCTTAAGTACTGATCCCATTTTCTACTAGATCAAACTTGCTGGTACTTGTTACCTAATTGCTTGAATTGGTGGAAATTGTGATACCTTGTTGATTCTTGACGTGTTAGCTTGAGTCTTATTCCTTGTTGGTATTTCTATCTTGTGATATTTATGCAGTTGCTCAAATATCTTGAATCACTTGAAATCTTGTATAGACAGTTTGAGAGTGCAAAGGAAAAGGAGGTAGGAGGTATGACGACGCTCTAGCCAGTGGTAGCTCTACTAGGCTTTCTATACTTATACGTCAAAATGATGAAGCTGGAAATCCTTTTGCTGATTTCATTGAGGAATTTATAACTTAGGTAAGATCTAAGGCAACTGTTGCAATGCCACCTCTACCTCCACCACTTGTTAGAATCACTCTACAACAGCTTGAGTATAAAGGACTTGTTAATTTTCGAAAGGTGGGAATAGAGAGGTTCAATGGTATTGAAGATGTAGTGATAGTTTAGTCTTGGCTCATAGAGATGGAAAATACTTTTACGTTTTTGGCAAGAAAGTGATAAGGTTGGAGTTGCTGGATTGATGTTGATTGGACAAGCATCTATATGGTGGACTGATTATCACAAAACACATCCTAATGATCCTAAGATAACCACTTGAGAGTGCATCAAGGATTTCTTCTTTGAAGACTATATACCATACAATGTGAGAAAAGAAATGTAGATTTAGTTCACAAAATTAAAGCATTTAGATTATAGAATGGCTAAATATAAGGCAAAATTTAAGCAATATTGGCCATTTATTTACAAAATGTTTGACTTAGAGAAGGTAAAGGCTGATCAATTTATGTATGGTTTGAGACCTAACATTTATTTGGCTTTGAATCCCTTTTGCCTATCTAACCTATCATGTGGCAACTAATCGCACTAGGGAACATAAGAAAGCCTTATAAATGGTGCAAGGATAGACTTAACCTCAAAGTAAGACTCAGGATTAAGGCACCTTTTCTCAGATTAGGAAAAAAAGGAAGTTTGAGAAGTTTTCTAGACCTATATCTACTACTTTTCCAAAACCCAACACAGGTAATACTCTAATAAACTTGCATATTAATAGAAGCAATTCCTAGTCTAATTATTAATAACTAGTTTCTTGGTGTAGAGAATACTTTTGCTAGGCATGCATTTAGTAAAACAACTAGTTAGGCATTAGTGGCCCACCCTACAAATCTACTTTACCTACTTGTCATGCTTAGGAGAAACTTAGTCATACTTGCAACCAATGTTGCCTATTTTTTGGAGTTTGTTTTGGATGTGTCTAACAAGGTCATTGTATTACTTAATGCTTTCAACCGAATCCTAAGGATGTTAAGATTACACCACAATAGGTACAACATTAGACACCTGTTGTTTAGAATCAAAATACTAAAGTAAGGGCTAGATAGCAAGCATGCGTTCATGCTATGACCCATTAGGAAACTATTGAATCTAATGTTATTGTAGGTAACATGCTTAATTAATTCATATAAGCCCAAATTAGTTATTTATTTTTATTATCTCCTTGTTAACTTCTCTTGCAAGAATATCTTGCATACTTAGGTACTTTGCTTGTTAATTCATCTTATGCCTATGTACTATTTGACTTTGGTGCTTCATACTTTTTTATTGCATGCTTGTACATTTGAAAACATACATTGCTTGTTGATATGTTTGATGTTGAGTTGCATGTGGACACCCCTTTAGGAGGAGTGATGGTCACTAGAGATGTCTATAACACTATGCTGATTTTTGTTGATGGTAGATAGTTATATGCTACTCTATTCATTTTAAACATCTTTGATTTTGACATAATATTGGGTATGACTTGGTTGTCTTGGCATTATGCCTCCATTGACTATCGTAAAAAATGGGTGATGTTCAACATTCTTGGTGAGTTAGAGTTTTGTTATCAAGGTACTAGCTCATTTGCTCCTCTCATTTTGATATTTGTGCTACAGGCGCACAAATTTCTTGTTAATGGGTGTCGGGGTTATCTTGCTTCCATTATTGATTCTAGTTACACTTCCTTGAGGTTTGAGGATATTCCGATTGTTAGTGAGTTTTATAATGTTTTTCTTGAGGATCTTTCTGGTTTGCCTTTAGATAAGGAATTAAATTCTCTATTGATCTTGTCCTTGGCATTGGATTGATATCTAAGACTTCATATTGCATGGCACCTACAAAATTAAAAGAGCTTCTAACTAAAGGAACTCTTTAAGAAAGGGTTCACTCATCCTAGCGTATCACCTTGGGGACCATCAAATCTTATTTGTTAAGAAAGATGGTAGCATGAGACTTTGCACTAATTATAGAAAGTTAAACAAGGTGACAATCAAGAATATATATCTATTTTCACAAATTGATGATCTCTTTGATTCTTAAGTGTTTTCTAAGATTTATCTTCCCTTCAGTTACCATCAAATAATGATTAAATCTAATGATGTACCAAAGATGACTTTTTATACTAAATACAATCATTATGAATTCTTAGTCATGCCTTTTGGTTTAACAAATGTACCAACAGGTTTCGTGGATTTGCTGAATTGCGTATTCAGTCAGTACCTTGACTAGTTTGTAGTTGTTTTTATTGATAATATCTTGATCTACTCTTCTAGTTGTGCTCTACATGGGCAACATTTGAGGACAATTCTCAATATATTGAGACAAGAGAAACTATTTGCTAAATTCAAGAAATGTGAGTTTTGGCTAGAACGTATTGCATTCCTAGGTAACATGGTGACTAAGAATGGAATTATTATAGATCCTAAGAAGACTGAGGCTGTGGTTGATTGGAAACAACCAAACAGTATTGCAAAGATTCGTAGCTTTCTAGAATTGAATGGTTATTACCATCGATTTGTTGAGGATTTCTCTAAAATTGCTTTACTAATAACTCGTCTTATCCTAAAGGTACTAGATTTGAGTGGACTCTAGAATGTGAATAGAGTTTCTTGACCCTTAAAGAGAGATTAGTCATTGCTCCTATTCTTATACTCCCAACCATTGGAGAGAAATTTAGCATATATAGTGACGCCTCCAAAAAAGGTTTAGGATGTGTTTTGATTTAGAAAGATAGTGTGATTGCTTATGCCTCGAGACAATTGAAACCTTATGAGAGGAATTACCTTACTTATGACTTGGAGTTAGCGGCTATAGTCTTTACACTTAAAATCTAGAGACATTATCTTAATGGTGAGATTTACAAAATCTTTTCCAATCATAGGTCTTAAATACATCTTCACCCAAAAAAAGCTTAATATGAGGCAAAGATGGTGGCTTAAACTTCTTAAGGATATGACCTTATCATTAATAATTATCCTGGTAAGGCTAATTGGGTAGCAAATGCTTTGAATAAGAAGTCTTTTGACATAGTTTCTAGTATTTTTGTCACTCAAAGAGAGATTCTTGAAGATCTTGCTAGGTTGATGTTGAATTGACATTTGAGAGTACTAGAGCTTATTTGGCTACCTTGTGTGCACAACTAGCTTTGAAAGACAGAATTAAGGCCATACAAAGGATTGACCATTTTTTATAAACATTTGTTGGGGTGTGCTAGTGATGTGGTCGATGAGTCAGCAGTGAAGATGACATGGGAGTTGACTAGGATGCCACTCGAGAAAATGAAAAGGGTCCTTTTTGGCAGCACTCGTTTCACGTGCAAAGGGCTACGTGCTATGGGCCATCTCGTTTTGTCGACAAAGATGTCTAGCAATGATATCCATTAGCAAACTCTCCAACAAAGTTCAAAAGTTCAACTGCTCCAGCCAAGCCGGGAGAGCTAAGCAATGATAACAGAGTTTCAAGGGCTAAGGGATGATTACACAACTATCAAAAATAGTGTAAAGAAGGTATACATTGTTATTGGAGCAGTAAGGACAAAAAATACATGAAGGTCAAGAGTTACAACTTGAGAAGCACATTCATATATAAAATATTTTAACATAATAATAATAACAATAAATGTGTCATCTACCATATCTAGTAAATATCCTCACTCTATAATGAACAGCCCTCATATTGTGAAAGGAAAACACAATGATTCGCTTTCTTGAAGTTCTTTTAAGAAAAAAAAGAATAAACTTGAAAGTGGTGATGAAAGAAAGACGGATGATTGCTTGGGGGCTTACGAGTGGAGTGTTTGATCCCGTTTTTTATGCTAACCTTGCAACTAGATGCTATGATGCTCAAGAAAAATTACCCAGAAGCTAAAACTGAAGCATGATGTCCCCCAGCCATAATGTTCTGCAAGTCTATAAATGTAATATCCCAAAATTTTGGGGTATTTTAGCATTAAATTGGGGTCTTATTTGAGGGAAAATATTGTTTTGGGGCTTAATCGTAAAACTTTTAAAAGTTGAGGGGCTAAAAAGAAAGGAAATTAGGATAAGGATGAATTGCTTTTTCTTTTCTTTTTCTTTCTTTTCTTCCTCATCAGTCGCGTGTTTCTGCTTCTGCTTATCTTCTTCCTCCCGACAAGCCCCCCCAAGCCACCGACTTTCTTCTCCTTGAAAAGTCGGTGAGATCTTGATGAAATTCCTTCCTTTTCTTGTTCAATCACAAGATTTGGGGCTTAGAATCTTCCCTCTCAACCCAGAAAATCCCGATTCTGCTCTGTTCCTTCCCCTGTAGCCGACCGAAGCTCCTTAGCCACCGCCATCCATTTCCGGCCGGGAACACCGGTAAAACTTGGGGATTTCTCCCCCTTTTCTTGTTCTAGACCAGCTATTAAACCCAGAAATCCCGGATCTGTTCTACTCTTCCTTCCCCTGCCGCGAGCTGCTTTTGTCGGTGGAGAGCTTCTCGGTTTTCTGGTAAGGGAACGACTAGGAATCATCCCTTTAGCCTTAATTCAAGTTGGGTTACTCTAATTGTGTTGTGGGTTCTTGAATTTTGAGGTTTGCCGTGAGTTCCTCCATTTCTCTCCCCGTCGGCTTCCTTCCCAGCCGGACCCGGTGCTGCTTGCCGGAGTTTCTTGGTATGATGGACAGCCTTTTTATGTCTAATTATCAATTAAGTATTGTCCATTTAGTTGCTTGTGTTGTCCGAGATTGTGCTAGAATTATGGGATGATTTTGGGTAGCATAAAACACGTTTTAAGCTTGGTTGTGGTAGAAATTTCTTGATTTAGTTGCTGTGTGGTTTATTGGGAGAAAATCTTGTGAATTAGCTAGTGTTTGGCCAATTTTGGAAGTGCAGTTACTGTTCACGCACTGTTCATAGGCATTGTTCACACCCCGAGGGTTAATGATTAACGGGGATTTAAAGATTTAGTTTGTGATATAAGAACGAATTTGGAGATGTCCGGTTATGTGGAGATTGATAGAAATAGCACCATGATTAGGGGTAGTGTTAAGGATGATTTTACTTTGGATTTTGTGGTAGTGCGGTATTAATTGTGGAATATTGTGATTAGGTTTTGATCGTTCTGTCACCGTAGCACTTGGGTTAGCCTTCGGTTTATGCGAGTGAGGTAAGTAAATTATGGTAAAGCCCTTCGATTTTAAAGCATGTTTTAAACTGTTTTTGAGATGGTGGCAAGGTTTAAATTGATTTTAAATTGATTTTATCAGCATCTGAGTGTGATTAAACTGAAATGAGAAATTGGATGATTTTCATGAGAATTTCCTTGGTTTACTGGGAATGAGCATGATTGAGAAATGAAAATGAGAATTTCATTGTTTTTCTGGAGTTGAGCATGCTTATTTGGGAATTGGTTGAACTGCTTTGATGAACTGAGAATTTTGTAAATGTTGATTTTTCTGTTAAATCCATGTCCGCATGGAAATTTTCCGGTTTGTTCTGAGATTCGGGATTGATTGTGAAATTGGGGTTTTTCTGTAAATCCTGCATGGTTTTGTCTCAGATATAGTCATGATTACTGACGCTTGCTAGTGGGAGCTGTAAACGCTAGCACATGTCGACATGTATTTCTGTAGAACCGGTTCGTCCTGCCAATGGGATAAAACATTGGCACTATTACTGATGCTTGCCAGTGGGAGTGTGTTAAACACTGGCACCATTACTGACGCCTGCCAGTGGGAGTGTGTTAAACACTGGCACCATTACTGACGCCTGCCAGTGGGAGTTTGTTAAACACTGGCCATGACTTATAGATGAGACTACTGAACTGAGTTTTCTTCTGCATTAACGGTTTGTCATGAATGCTTTGCAATTAAACTGAATCTGATTTTGTCACTGAGCGTTTTGGTTATATTAAACTGTTTATTTGGCATGCTTAAAAGTTTTACCCAAGGGCTATCCGTATTTACTTACTGAGTTATCTCATAGTTTTCCTTGTCCACCATTTCAGGAATCGAAACTGAGGACGGGGAAACCAAGGGGAGTGACGAGTTAGAAGGCTAGCCATTTCGAGATTGATATAGATTTAGAAATAAATCATGCTCTTGCAAGCTAGAGTGTATGTGGAGATTTTATGATATCAGAGCAGATTGTAAAATTTTATCTTGAGATTTTGTGGTATCAGGTTGTGATTTGAATTAGTTCCGAGCCTTGTGCACTTGCAGGACCCGTCTCACGAGTGCACGGCGTCTGTCGCGCCTCGGATTTGGGTTCTGGGGCGTGACAATAAATTATTTTGTAGCATTGGAAGTGTAGAAAATAGGAAGAAAATGGTAATTTCTGGGTGATTTTGGTGTGTGAGATAGGAGGTTAAAGATGGAGGATTCTTTTTAAAGGAATGTTGGAGGTCTAGTGCGTGGCGAAGGAAACTGGAGCTGTAACAGATCATTGTTGTCTACTGAAAAATGAAGGGAAAAATAATATATACATGTGTAGTTGCATTTTTGTAATTTTTGAGTTAATCGGTCAGAGGGGTGCAATGGCTAACAGATAGGTTTGGATAAGTTGTCAAGCTTTTAGTGGCTTTGGACACTGTTGGCAGCTCTCTAGTAGTGATATTATGAATTACCTAATGGTTCCTATGAAGGACTGGAAATTGACTGCTTTTGGTAATTCCTCTAGCCATACGAAATTCCATTTTGGGGAGATGTTTAAGTGTAGCTGGCAAACATAAAATCTGCCAAGGATTTTGGAAAATTCCCTAGGCAAAATGCAATCTTTTTCAATAGCTTATAAGACCACAAAACTTATGCAACCATCTTTGCGTTGAATATGGTTGCAAGTTGCTGATGGTGACCAAAACAACATCTCTGATTAGTTTTCAATGGGAGTTTTGGGCTTTTAGTCAGCATCAAATGGTACGGTTTTGGGGATCAATTCCACTTCCACTTCCATGCCTTCACCACCCAACCCTCTCTAGCAAAGTTGGGCAACATCGCTAATGCCAAGCTTCGTTGGCACAAACACCTTGCTTCGCTAGATAGGCAGCAGCATTCACCCATCCATGCTTGCTAAGCCACCACTCCCATAGTTTATCCCGGGTAGCTCTGATGAGCTTGGATTCATAGGCTTGTGTTTATCTACGATGAAAGCAAGATACGAGTGAGTATATATTCAAATATATAAGTGTAAAACGTATGGATATGTGCAACAAAGAAGGGTACTCCCTTGTGTGTTAAGGGGGCAATGTGGATGGATGTTTAGCTATGCCCTTTTTCTTTACTAGCCATGGAAAATGCTTGTATAATGCTGTTATATATAGCTGGCATGGCGCGAAGACAAAGAATATGTGATATAGATATGTGCTGCAATATCATTGTCCCGAGCCAAGCATCGTTGGTCGGCTAAAGTATGAACTATGTGGAATCAAAAGAGAATTCCCACTAATCCACCAAGTTACGAAGGGGTAAATCTCACTAAACTAGACTTTGCCATAACAATGAATATGTGATAGAGAGAGGTGGAGTTGTCTCCATGGAAAAGGGACACCAATCACATCAATGGCCTTCGATACGACAAGGTGTGATACCACTAACAAACACTGGCCTTTTTTGCTATACCCACATTGTTAGAGGGTGATCCTGGTTGTTGTTGTTTGCTGGGTACCACATCACCATGCACTAGTGGCCACCAAGGGACCACTGGCCGCTACTTGATGGATTTTTATTGTTGAAGGGTAGCCATCCTGTCCGATCGTAGGGTTGTAACTGTTATCGACCTCATGCTAATCGTACCAAGTTACACTAAGTCTTTGTCCATTTCTGGGAGCTAGTGAGATGGAATATGTAGAGATTCGACTCTTTGTCCATTGTCGGGAGTCGGTGTGATGAAGATACACAGAGATATATAGCCTTTTACCCATTGTTGGAGACTAAATAATGAATTTGGCCCTTTGTCCATTGCTGGGTGCCACAAGATGTAGTAATGAACATTGCTGCAGGGTAGATGTCCATAAAAAATGTCCAGCCATGTCATGGAAATAGATCTAGCCATGTCTGGCCATGTACATAAAAATGGATGTTGGAGTGGGTTGCATTTTGTAGTATTTTCGACGAAGTAGATGAATGTTGCTTTTAGCGATGTTGACTCCGTTGTAGTAATCAGCAAGAAATAAGAATAGCAAGTCTAATGTGGAAGATAAGTCACGTGGGCCCTTGTTGATGTGGAGTCGCACATGTCATCAATTTCAAGGCCATACAAATTCATCCCTAAACATTAGCCCCCCAAGTGGGCAAAGTTGTGACAACAAGTTTGGCCACTTGGCATTGAGGGAGGTAAATTGTTGGCACATTTTCCATATGATCATGAGCATGTTGGAATAATCTAAAAATTGAATGATCAATGTGAATTCTTCTGTCAAAGTAGATGTGGTTTGAAAGACTAAAGATTGTTGGGATTCGGCCCCAACCAAATAATGCGCTAATGTTGAGGCAATTTCAACAGAGGCAAGATTGTGCTAAACCTAGCCATGTGAAATAGATAATGATAAGCATAGATAAGTCCAATACACCTCAGTTGTCTCGTGGGCTTTAACATCTTTGGCAAAGTCTCGACATGGATAAAACCAAACAAGACTGAAGCAAAACTCTAGCTAAGGAGTCCATGTTGTTGACAATGATGAAACTCGAACATGTGCAGAACAAAGCCAACACTAGCCAAGGTGATGGGTAGCATAAGTGGCACCCATGAAATATATTCATAAAATTATTCTAGGCAGGAAAAATTACTCTTGTGCTTGACCGAACCTTTCTAAAATAATTTTCTAGAAAAAGTTGAGTGTGATTACGAGAGTACTTGGTAGTGACTTTGACTAATGCCAATATAAGGCTAGTGAGCAAACTTTCAGTTGTGTCTTCGTTAGAATTCCTACATGGGCTACACTGCTTTTCTTCTTAGAAAAATAATAAACTCTGAGTAGTTATTGCAAAAAAAAAAAAAACTTTTTGTACTATTCACATGCGGTTTAGATCTAAAGAGGGCTTGAAATTATCTCAGAGAAGTTTTCAGTAGTTAAGGAGAGAAAAAGTAACTTCCCCTTTTAATAAGAACAAAACTGAATCTTCCTCAAAATCTTGTCATGATGGCGCATAAAAATGGGAGATTTTAAAGGGGATCGCATGTATGTAAGTGTATTACAATAGTATGCACCTATTTGCTATCCCTTGAATAATTTCTGGTCATGTTAATGCGTGACAAGTGGCAGAGTGGTTCGCCAATGCACTTTAATGCAACTTTCAATTTCCCTTTAGTGTCATCATCCCTATTTCTTCGCAAAATTTTTCAGTTTCCCCTTTCTTCAAAACCATTGAACCTTTCTCTCTCCTTCTACACTTCTGATCTTTTTGCCATTTTCTTCACAAAACTCCTAGGCTTTTTAGCGAAGTGACCAGATTCTTTCTAAGGAAATCAATCTGGGGTGCAAATTTGACAAAGCTCTTCTTTCAATTAAGGTAATGACGAACCCTATTCCTCTACCCCACCTTTTTTTCTTTTTTTTTTAGAGTTCCATGCTGCAAATTTCTCTCATTTTCTCTAACCCAAACCTTTGCCTTCCTTCCTCTTTTTCTTTCAAAAGAGGCTTTGGAGATGGCTAATCCTTATCCAATCGACGGAGTATAGCCGTACCATGACCCATGGTATACCTTCTGGGACGGCTTCCTAAATTTCAGTACTTGGTCGACAAAAAGGGTGCTTAAGAAGGAAAAAGATCTAATTTTACTTGAAGCTTTCAAGAGGGTGATATTGGTGCTGCATGGTTTCCCTCACCAAATGATGTAATGCGAGTAAGGCTTGAAAGACAGGAGTTGCTACTAGTGCCAATTCACTTTGCATTCCCATCTAGTAAGATGGAAGATTGGAGGGGTTGGGCTAAGTAGATGCTTGTCGAGAATGGCTTTGTGGAAATATTGCATGCTGTTGGGATCCTTTAGTTGGTGCTCTAGCCATGCCGGGAGAGTTGAGCAATGATAACAGAGTTTCAAGGGCTAAGGGATGATTACACAACAACCAAAAAGAGTGTAAAGAAGGTGTACATTGTTATTGGAGCAGTAATGGTAGCAAATACATTAGGGTCAAAAGTTACAATTTAAGAAGTACATCCATATATAAAATATTGTAACATAATAATAATGATAATAAATGTGCCCTCTGCCATCTCTAGTAAAGATCCTTATTCTATAACGAACAGCCCTCATATTGTGAAAGGAAAACACAACGATGTGCTTTCTTGAAGTTCTTTCAAGAACAAAAAAAATAAACTTGAAAGTGGTGATGGGAGAAAGACAGATGATTGCTTGGGGGCTTGCGAGTGGAGTGTTTGATCCCGTTTTTTACATTAACCTTGCAACTAGATCCTCTGATGCTTGAGAAAGAATACCTCAAAGTTGAAACTAAAGCATGTTGTCCATCAACCATGATGTGCTGCAAGTCTGGAAATTATTCTGTAGTGTGAGAGTGTAGAAAATAGGAAGAAAATGGTAATTTTTAGGTATTTTGGCTTGTGAGGTGGGAGGTTAAAGATGAAGGATTCTTTTTAGAGGAATGCTGGAGGTCTAGTGCGTGGGGAAGGAAGTTGAAGCTTTAAAAGATCGTTGTTATCTATTGAAAAATGAAGGGAAAAATAATATGTAAGTGTGTAGTGGCATTTTTGTAATTTTTGAGTTAATGGTCAAAGGGGTGCAGCGGTTGTTGTACTTATGATTTTAATGATTACAAAATATATTTAAGTGACTAATTAGTTCATTTAAGTGTGTAGTTAAAATATCAAAAGATTGCAAAGTAAGTAAACTTGGACTACATTAAAAATGGACCAAAAGGCTTGAAAATGTGCAGAGAGTCGACTGTTAAAACTTGCAGTCGGCTGTGGAGGTGCAGAGAGCCAGCTCTGGAAGCTGCAGCCAGTTCTATGGGTAAAAACTTAAAGGTCAGTTGTTTGGCACGCGTGGAAAAAAGACGCAAAGTAGGCTCCAACTTTGCAACCGACTGTGAGAGCGCATTTAATGTACAATGGTTAAGTGATTTGAAGATTATTTAATGTTTTTAAAGTTGAAATCCCAAAGCCGGCTTTAGACTTTGTAGCCGGCTATGAAAGAAAATAGAATGTGCAGGAAACTCGCAAAACTGGCTGCAGAATTTTTAAGCTAACTCTACGAAGAAAATAGAATGCAAGAAACCCACAGAGCCGACTGCATAGAGTCGACTTTAGGGAGTTAAGCCAGTTGTCCTGACAATCCTACAACTCTAGCTTTGCGCCCTGCGGAGCATTAAATGACTCCCAACAGCTAGTAACAGTTATTTTCGACCATGGGGTTATAAATATGATTGATAGAGGATCTGCAGGAAGTTGAGAAAGCATTGCATTGAATATCTTTACCTACCTACATGAGCTTTAACTTGAGTTTTGATCTTTGAGAGATCTTTGCTTGTAATCCTCTTCTTGTTCTATTTGTGGGTGATCTTGGGGGTGTGATTAATCCTTCAAGAGTGATCTATAAAGAGGATTCTTGGGGTTTATCTTGTAAAGGGGTGAGATTTGAAAGAAACACCCTTTTTCTTGCAAAAAGATTGAGTGACTCCTTTAAGCCACCCTTGATTTTGTTAGTGAAGAATGTGGAGGAAATCCTTGGTGAGTGAAGCCAAGGTAGAGGAATAGGTTCCAAGTAGTTGGACTGAACCTCTATAAAATCATTGAGCAAGCTCTTCTTCTCTACTCTCTTTAATATTGGTGTTGTGGTTGCAAAAGGGGAGCATTTTTGGAACTCCAATTCACCCCCCCGTCTTGAAGTACATTGAGTCAACAATTGGTATTAGAACAAAGGCTCCAATTTAAAGGTTTAACCACCTAGGAGTTGATTAGGGATGGCTCAATTTCAAGCTTCTCAACCACTTGAATGTTTGTCTACCGCCAAGCCTCCTTTCTTTGATGGTACTAATTATAATTATTGGAAGAATAGGATGAAGGTCTTCATGCTTGCGAATGTGCCCAAGGCATGGATTGTAACTATGAAAGGTCCAAATGTGCCTATGAAAGTAGTTGGGGAAAGTGAGGTGCCAAAGGAAGAAGTTGAATGGAATGATGAAGATTTGGTGAAGATCATGATCAACAACAAAGCAATCAACATGCTTCAATGTGCTCTCAATCCAATGGAATTCCATGGAGTTTCTAGGTGTGATACAGCTAAGGAGATGTGGGACATGTTAAAGGTAACACATGAAGGAACAAGCCAAGTGAAGGAGTCAAAAATCAATAGACTCATTCACATGTATGAGCTTTTTAAGATCAAACTGGAGGAGAGCATTCAAGATATGTATACAAGATTAAATGATATAGTCACCAATCTTAAGGCTCTTGGTAAAGTTTATCCTTCTTAAGAAGTGGTGAGGAAGGTTCTTAGAAGTTTGCCCAAGAATTGGGAAGCCAAGACGACCGCAATTGAAGAATCAAAGGATCTCAACACTCTCAAGCTTGAAGATCTCATTGGAAAATTGATGACATATGAAATAGAAGTTCAAGTTGATTGTGGAGTTAAAGTAGTTGAGAAGAAGAAGAAGAAGAAGAATGTTGATTTCAAGGCTAGCAACCAAAAGGAAGAGAGTGAAAATGATGCTAGTAATGATGAGTCTAGTAATGAGGAGGACATCACCAAATTGGTTTCAAAGGAAGTGAAGAAATACATGAAGAAGAGTCTCAAAGGGACATCCTCTAGAAGAAACAAGGAAATTCACTATTCTAGAGGAAGAATATGTAGTGATGATGATGATAGAGGAAAGCCAAGCAAGAAGCATATCAAATGCTATGAGTGCAACAAGATGGGGCATTATAGAAATGAATGTCCTTAATTGAAGAAGGGTGAAAGGAAAAACAAGAAGAGCATGAAGAAGAAAGCTTTTGCTGCCACTTGGAGTGATGTTGAGGCTAGCTCAACGGAAAGTGAAAGCTCCTTGGAGAATGGTGTTGCAAATCTTTGCTTCATGGCTCAAGAGGATAGCAACAATGATGAAGAGGTAAACTCTAACTTCTCTAGTTCAATTAATGAAAGTTCTTTTAAGTATTCTTATGATGATTTATGCAAAGTTCTTGATTGCTCTATGAATGATATCAAGAAACTAGGAAATGAGAATCTTGCTCTTACTAAAATCATTTCATTGCTTAAAAATGAGATTGTATCTCTTTCAAAACAAAATGAGGTTTTAGTTAAAGAAAATGCCTCTTTAAATGGTGAAATTGCATCTTTAAAGAATGAGGAGTCTAATAATGCTTTGAAAAAGGAAAATGAGGATGCAAAGAAGGAAAATGAGGATTTAAAGAAGGAAAATGAGGTTTTAAAGAGAAAAGCTTGTGATCTTGAGAATGTGATTTCCAAATTTACCTTGACTAAAGAAAAATTTGATTCTATCTTAAAATCTCAAAGAAGTATTTATGATAAAGGGGGCATTGGATTTGATTATTCTAAAAAGCAAAAGACTTTTAAGAATTCTTTTGTAAGAGCAAGTCAATTCTCTCATCCTAATGTTACTTGCTATTGTTGTGGTGCAAAGGGACACTTTGCCTATGTATGTCCTTTGAAGAGATTGATAGCTCAAGGTAAAGTGAAGCAAATTTGGGTTCCAAAAGGAACTTTAAGCACTAACCCCCATGGACCCAA